TAATTTCCAGAAATGAGGGATGCCTAGCCTAAATCAGTTATCTACTATCAGGTGTACATCTGATGATGTGCAGATGTTAAATGTCAACATATCATCAGTGAGTCTAAAAAGGGGTGTTGCTAGTATGAAGAAAATTAATTTGAAGACGTGCACAATATCTACATATTGCATACACTTGAGGCAAGCTTGTGTTGCCCAACCGGTTCAGCTGGTAGCTGCAAGATGAGACTAAACAGGAAGAGAAAGAAGGGGTCCTCTCATGCCCCCTTGAGCAAAGTGTCAGCTGAGCTGGCATGAAAGGGCTCTGTGCAGGCAGATTTTTTTGGGAGGACTGACACCTTGCACCTGAGATTTGACCTCTATAGCAGCAGGATGGATGCTGCAGAAGGTTCTGTGAGGCTGGAAAAGGATGTCTTCCTTTTGTTAGTGACAGGCAGAGATCAGTGTAATTTATATGCCCGAGCCCAGATCTAAATTGTACAGCATGCAAGGTTTTAGTACAATCACATGAACAGGCAGTTTTTCCATAGGCAGCTCATCCATCAGCTTGTTCTGAAGGGGAATTTAGAGTCTGGGCAGTAAACAAGTAAAACAGACATATTCAAACTGGTTAACTTCTGTACTGTTAGGCTATTCCATAATCAAGTAGAAAGGGTCTCTGTGTGAGACTTAGACTGCTTCAGTTGAGTGGCACCAGTTCACTGTAACTCTGTCTGCAACACTGAGAGGAGTACATCTATTGGACCCCAAGAAGCCCCTCCAAGAAAATCAGAACCCTTTGATTAATGTTGTTAGATACATGCTGGTAGAGAAGATTCCCCAAATGCATGAGGTCCTGTCAGGGAGACACTGACTTTTCCCAGTGCCTACCCCCCTGCCGTGGCTCAGGTGTGCAGGTATTGTGACTGTGGAGGGTGCTTGTTTCCTGCAGTAACACCCTCTCGGCAATGTGATGGTCTCACTGGACGCTGACAGAAAAATCCTTATGTTTCTGATACTCTGACAGTATTACCTACCATTTCTGGGTTGCCAATGTTCTCTTTCCCTCACGCCAGCTGTCAGAAAACCAAAGGGTCTGTGGAAATGATGAGGAAGCATAAAACATATGTGAACCTGGTTTGATCTGGGAAAGAGTTAATTTTCCTCCTAGCAGCTGGTATAGTGCTTGTTTGGGATCTGGAATGAGAATTATGTTGCTCTTCCTTTTCTGTCCCATTAAACCGCCTTTATCTCCACCCACATTTTCTCCCTTTGCTCTTCTGATTCTCTCCCCACCCCAGTGGTCAGGGTGTACTGAGCAAGCAGCTGTGTTGCTTAGCTGCTGGCTGGGGTGAATCCACGGCATGAGATTACAGGATACCACACAGCAGTGTATCTCCACTCCTCAGGTCTCTGAACATGGGTGGGATCTTCAGCCGTCCTTTAGCAGTCAAAGGCACGTACTGAAATCCAATAATCTTCAGAATCCAACAAAATTAATTGACCTCTTCCCTTCCAAGAACCTATTTATTCTATGTATTAGCGGATAGACAGAAGCTCAGCCTGCTCCTATGCCATGTTCCATCGGTGCAGGGTCGAACAAAAAACTGATTTAGTTTAGGTTTGTGATCCATTGTTTGTGCATGCCTTAGAAACACCCAGACCCTAATTGTTTTTTGCAAATTAACCAAGGCATTGCTTGTCTGTTAGGTGTGAAGCGTAGTCCCTCAGAGATGGCAGAGGGTGAGGTTGATGTGGACAATGCCTGTGGCCCATATTACATAAACAATCTGAGCTATTCAGAGGAAAATTTCGACAAACTGGTGAATCTAAGTTACTACAATGTCCAGAACAACAAAGATTTGATTCTTCAGGCCTTGCGTACAGCTGTGGAGCGGAAAAAGCAGCATAAGAAAGAGCAAGCGCTGCAAAAACCACCCGGTGGCTGTGGCATGTGTGTGCCTGCCAGAGAGGGAACCCAGCACTTGGCTGACTGCCCAGCACCAGGGCATACAAAATAAACCATCATCCTGTTGGTGAAGAAGAAAAGGAATTTTATTAGGAAGTGAAGAAAAGCCAACGAACGCTAAGAATAGCACTTCATTTGTCATCAAAAATGTTAAGCCTGTCTGTCAGTGGAGGGAATAAACTCAAAAAAACAGCTTTTCCTTAATGAACTCATTTGCTTCCCTCATTGACAACCTCAGGAGCATGGCTAGATGAGGCTCTGCTCCACCATACTTGCAGAAGCGACCTTCCAGGCCAGGGCCAAACTGCATGGACAAGGAAGTGTGAGGAAGTTTACAGGGGCTGTTTGTGTTCTACCTGTGCTATAGAAACCAAGGATTGCCGGGCCAGAAATGCAGCAGAGAACAAAACCCATTGTCTCTAAAAAAAAGATCAAGGAAGCCATTTGTGAACTAAGAAATCTTTATGTGAATGTAAATAAATATTAAATTTATATAATAAACCACTACTTCTGAGTAGGAGTTACAGCAAATAAATAGTTTTCCTATCAAGTACATGTTTCAGCCATTTATTTTAGGTGCTTCTTCCTCAACTAGCAAGACAAAGAAAACATACGGACATTTCATAGCTGCTGAAAAAATTATTGAAGAAGAATGTATACCTGCTCCAGACATAGATGTAAACTAGTTCAAGATTCTGGAACCCCTTGAGTTTAGGATTACAACTAAGACCCATCTATACAAGCATCAATTCATATTAATTTGTTTTAGCAAGCTGAATTTAAATGCTATTGATAATACCAAATGTTCTTTAATATTGATAATATTAAAATGTTTGAGACTATTATAACAAAAACACAAGAAACAGAGACAAAGCAAAACAGAAATGTTGTACCTAATATCACTCATGCAAATGTGATTTTTTAAACTTGCTTTAGAGTATAGCAAGTGAAGTTAACAGAGAATCAACTTTCAACTTTCTGATGCTTTGGTTGTAAGACTAATATGCCTCTTTTCCAGCAAGCAGTCTGGGTCTTTGACAATGGAATCTGTAAAAGTCTACATTCATTCTTCTTCAATTTTTTTAAATTCAATGCTATGATTTTATTTATTAGACATCTTGTATTCACAAGCCCATGTTTCCTACAGGCTTCCCCACTCCTGAATTCTGCTGTAGTATTCTTTGTCAAGAAATCCTGTTATTGTGGGCCAGAAATGGAAGTCTTACAGATTCCTTTGCTCTCAAGGTCGAGGGTCTCCTCCTAGGTGGTGCACAGAGATGTAACCCCTCTGTTTGCCACTTAGGTCGATGAACACTTACCTGGTGAGCATGTTACAGGAGCCCATACAGCTCCTGGGGTGTATGCCCAGAGTTTATCTCCCATGGAAACGAGAGAGCAAAGACAGCAGTCATGCTGATGAATGCTGGATCTCATCATATTATGGGATGGGATGTAGCCAGAGGGCACAGCCAGACCTGGGAATTTGGAAGCACTCCCAGGTTCCCATATACAGTTAGAGCTTTATTGTCTGAAGGGCAAAAATTATATCACTGACAGCAGGAAGCATCTAGGCAGGAAGTCTGAAGACAAGCAGAATGAGGTGTGTGAGTGCAGACACTTCCCTGCCCTTCCTACTGCTTTCCAGCAGACACGAAAGGGTCATGGAGAACAATGAGCACTTACCCCATTTCAGAAATCTTGTGTGGAATAATTACTCTATGTGCAACAAGAATACAGAGGGAAAGGTCAGGCCTGATCGAGGAGGTGGAACTGCTTCCACACAAGGTACAAATAGCTGAGGAATCTGCAACCTAGAAAAAAACAGGAGGAGTGAAACGCAGAGAAGAGAGAGGTACAAAAAGTCTGTGCACGTCTCTTCTACCACATGACCTAGAGAGGATCAGACAAAACTAGCAAACAGCAGTTTTAAACAAAGTGAGGTAGCTTTGCACATATGCAATTAAAGTTTTCTTGTTGATAAAATTTTATGCATTCAAAAAACTGATTGAGGCATTCACTAGAAAAATATTAGGGGCTGAAAAATACAATGGCTCTGCATCTGCCTCAGTCCTGCACTGAATCATGAATTCCCAGAGACTTGGACGACAGTCTGAGGCAGTATCATACCTGCCCTGTGAGTTATGTGAGCTATGTAAGCTTCTCCAGTCACTAAATACTGGATTTAGCACCACAGATGAGGGGGGAAGGAACCTCACTCCATCCTGCAGTACTTAGGTTTTCCACAGCTCAGATATTTTTTCAGATAATTAATAATTAGGAGCAGTCAGACCTCTAAGGATGTGCTGATACAAGACTAATTTAAAAGAAATTACTGAAGTAAAATCGAGAAGGTGTAAGTAACTACAAGGATAACTTAATTACATATTAATTAAGCCATAGAGAAAATGAATGGCAATTAAAGGAATGCAAAACTAAATTATGAAAAGGAGATTTTAAAAACTGAGGAAACCAGTCAGCAAGACCCTATGTGAAATGGTATAAAATCTTTTGACTCAGCATGGAAATTGCAATAAGAGAATTGCAAAATATATGCACAGCCCTAAATAAAATGCAAATCAAGGAACCAAGAAAAGGCAAAGTGGTTAAATGCCCAGAACTGAGCATTGCTAAAGTCTAACATCTGCTCTTTGAGGAACAGGATAGAGAGGAAGGAGATGAAAAGAGCACATCTAAACCTGCTGATGTGATAAAGCATATCCCGGAGCATATCGAGGAAACACAGCATTCAATATGGAAATGAGGATGAGGAAAGGTACATAGATAAAAATGTGAAACGGTAGATTATACTGGACCAGAAAAAGGGGATTTAAATTATATGGATGCTCTGAAAGAGCCATAAGTGTGTCACACAAAAGGCACATTTGTAATAGTGTTTAAACACTGTTTCAGCAAAAATTTCCACTCCTTTTCTTTTAACTGAGATCCCAAGTTGTTTTTTTTTTTGTTTTGGTTTGGTTTTTTGGGGGGTTTTTTGGATTTGTGGGTGTGGTTTTTTTGTGGTTGTTTTTTTTGTTTGTTTGGGGTTTTTCTGTTTTTTTATTTACTGAGCACAAACTTTAATGTCAAAGGACAAAAAGTACTTGTCTTATTGATTTCCCCAACGTTGTAGTGAATCTGGTGTTACACTCCACTAAAATCTCCTGTAAAATCAATGGTCAAGGTGGCTTAACACAACAGGACCTAAGGTTAGAACTAATGGCCGTATCTTCCACACACGTCTCACAGAAAGATTTCCATTTTATACTAAGATTTTTCACTATGCTTAAAGCAGTTGCCCGATGTCGTAGCTAAACACCACGGCGCTTAGTCACACATTTCTTTTGCATCCAAAGACAGCAACCATCATCAGAAAAACACGAAAAGCATTTGTGCGATTCTACGTTCAGATCGGAGCTGTCAAAGCGTTTCCGGATTTCATCGCAAGGGGCTGAGGTTTTAGCGCAGAAGAGCAGCAGGCACAATTAACCTCCAGAGGGGCACTTGTGGCAAAAAAAAAAAAAAAAAAAACCCAAAAAAAAAAAAAAACACCGGACGAACTTCCCCTTCAGTAACACCCCAAACCCACCCGGCTCCCAGGGTGTGTACTGCAGGGAGAGGGGCCCCGCCCGGCCGCGCCGCTGAGTGGAGCGCGCAGCGCTGTGGCACCGCCTCTCGCCGGGGCCGGGCGGGTCCGCGGCGGCGGCTGCGTGCGCGGGAGGCTCGGCGGCGGCAGCGGTGGTGGCAGCAGTGGCAGTGGCGGCAGTGGCAGTGCGGCGGGATGTTCAGCTGGCTGGGGAAGCAGGGCGGCGGGCGGGAGCGCGGCGGCGGCACCGACGTGGTGCAGACGGTGACCGGCGGGCTGCGGGACCTCTACCTGCGCAAGCTGCTGCCGCTGGAGGAGCACTACCGCTTCCATGAGTTCCACTCGCCCGCCCTGGAGGAGGCCGACTTCGAGAACAAGCCCATGGTGCTGCTGGTGGGGCAGTACAGCACCGGCAAGACCACCTTCATCCGGTAGGTGACCCCCGGCGTGCGCGGCCCCCGCCGGCCGCTCGGTCATCCTGGCTCGCCCTGCCCGGGTGGTGCTGCCGGCGGTAAATCCCTCCCACGCTCTGGCCGAGCGCCCCGCGGCGAGCCCGCCGTGCCCCGCGGCTGCGAGCCGAGGCCGGGCGGTGACACGGCGGGGCTGGCGCCTGCCCGCGGCCGGCGACCCCAGCGAGCGGGGCTTACCGAGAGCCTCCGTGCCCTGTCGAGGGTGGTGCCGCTCCCGGCCCTGTTACACGCTCTGTAGCTCGCTGCTTGCTTCCTGTTCAAGAATATTATCTCTATTTCATGTTCTGCTGAGAAAGTGCAACCCCGTTGTCTACTTCCTCGTAGTTCTTGTAATCCCTAATTTATTTTAAAGGAAAACGAGGGACTTCGTGGTAAAACTGTATGACTGCACTGGCCATGGGGATCGCTTAACTTTATCTCCTCCCTTTTCTTTCCCCAAAGTAGCTTAATGCACAAATCGGATGTGATCATAGAGGAGTAAGGTGACGAGAGTTTTGGGCAAAAATCACGTGGTATCTGGAAAGTCTTCCCTTCCATGTGTGTTTATTTTGATCAATTACATTGAAGAAGCAGTAGCACTACTAAAGCAGCTTAACAGTGTTGTTCATGTTGTAGTATTTTCTGTCTTTCCTGTATCCTTATTTCTAGGTTTCTTAGTAACTCATTTTTAGGAAGCTGGAGCATATCTCAGATAAGCAAAATGCTATGAATCTGTAACTATTCATGTCCCTCTCACATGCCCCTTAAAAATCCGTCTAATGTTTTGCCCAACTCTGCGAGACACTGAGGGGTCACATTTTGACCTGCTTGTATCTGAAGTTCATTATAGTCCTTCTGTAAAATTTTAAAGGCTTTATCTTTTAGTTCCAAAGATTACAGGCAGCCTTTCCATAACACTGTTTTCTTTTTCCACAGCAAAATACCTGTCTCCCCTCTCTGATGAAGATCAATGTTTACCTTTAATCACCTGAGAGCTTTTCATATGTTTACAGAACTAATCATGTGTCTTTTCAGGTTTTACAACTAGCTAATTGAAAGCTTGAAGTCGAACATGGTTTCTTTATTGATTGCTACTGAACTCCCGCAAACACAGAAAGAAATGCTGCTCAGAGGAATATTTTAAAAATAGAAATAGGTCTGTAATTAAAAGAAAAGAAACTTAGTTTCAGGATCTCCACAGGCAGTCACAGGGTGTGACTGGGGGGAAGGGTTGTTGAGATGGATTTTTTCCAATGTTTCTCTCGGCATATTAATTCATTTTCTTCTTTAAAATTACGGTTGCTTTTTTAGTCTGTATATATTTCCAGATAAATGTTGTTACTTGGCTTATGGACAGAGGCTGGGGAGAGCACAGGTAATAGAGAGGGAGGCAGAATGGTCACAGATATGTGCATACCAGAACTTGCTGCCTGTCAGCAGCATTGTTCTGTTATTTGCAATGCATGGAAAACTCTGTGTCTACCCTCCTGTAAGAGTTTGCCTTGGTTGAGAACACAGGTTCTTGGTTTATGGACATTCAGCTTTTCTGTCCTTTATAGCTGCCCATATTCGACTGAAGTACAAGTTAGTATTGTGCTTAGAAACATTAGTATTCCTTGCAGTGCCTTATGTGTATTTTTTCTACTGTTAACAAGTTACTATGTGTGTTTTTGCTACTGATAACAAGCTACTTTGTGAGTAACTTGTTATCACTGTAACAATAAAATGCTGAGCAAAGGGGTTGATTGATACTAATATACAGTCTGAATGAGAAAAGACCTATGCTTTATTATAGCTCTTGCCAGCCTTTTTTCAGCATTTGTCAGTGCCAGATGAAGATGCCTAGACAATTTTGACAGAGTGAAGTTTTCAAAAATAGTTTCTTATGTGTTTTATTAAAATACCTGACTTGATGCAAGAGGTGGCTTCTACTGTGACCCTTCTTTTTATTCTCTTACCCCTTTCTGCTGTGCCCATTTTAGGTAGCTTGCAGTGCAGTTTAATCTTCTACAAGGTATTGGAGAAGACAGGCATTGACTGCAGAGCCCAAATCCGTAGCAGAATGTCTCTTATTGCTTCTAAAGGCTCTCACTATGACCAGCATTCATTACCTCAGTGTTTTCTATAGCATAGATAGTAATTGGCTGACTCAGCATGAAAAAATGCTCCACTGAATATGGGCAGTAACTTAGACCATAGTGTCACAGTGACTGTTACTCAAAATCCAATTTAGAGGAGAAAAAGAAGGGCAAAAAAAGAGAAGTTTTTGTCTGTTGTGTGCAAGACTTAGAAGAAGACATTGGAAAATATTATAGTGTCCGGGTCAGCCAGAAATAATTCAGCTTCTTGTATGCTGAATCTCCCATGAAAAAATGTCATACCCTCTCAAGATTGTTGTAATCCTCTATTTGTTCTATGATGAAGTAGCACTATAGGGGATTTTTTCCTCCAAACCTTTAATAAGCAAACATTATTTAAAATTTTAAATAAATAATTAAAATTGCTTATAAAAATTAAAACTAGTTTTTGTTCACATTTCTTGACTTCGTAGCCAGGAGGGCATATTAGGTCTACCTAAGTGTTTACTGTTGGGCTTAGGAGTGAACATAACACTTCTGTTTAGCTGTCAAATACTCATTTGGGATTTACTTTGATTGAGACATTATCGTGAGAACTTCACATTTTCATACCTCTGACACATCCATATCCACCCAGTTCCTTCCACTTAGTCTTTATGGAAAACACTGATGTACCAGTGACTGAATGTCCCTGGGGATTAAGATATGGAAACAAACACTTCCAGGTTTCTAACAGCTCTTGTGTTTTTTCACTCAGTGCTGTTTATCCGCTTTGGCACTTGGAACAATGCAGTGAAACCAGTCAGTTTTGCTGTCTAAAGTGTAGTGTGGTGATAGTTTCATTCACCTATTAGACAATGCTGACAATTCAAACAAATATGTCAAAATGTTAATACTTGTCCAGTTGTGTTTAATGAAGTGGGAGTATGGGGAGAGCCAGTTGTTCTTTCATGTGAGCTGCTTGGCCTTGCAGTTTCTGTAATTGTCTCAATTTCTCGTGCCTGTTTTAGGAAAAAAAATGTGGGGAAAGTGCGGACAGCAGAGGAGACTTGTATGAAAAAGAGATAAGAGGTAGTCAATGCAAATAGGTAGTTTCATTCTGTTTTAGAAGTGTAGGAGACTGATTTTTTTTTTTTTAAGAACTTATCAACATGAGACAAACCAGAAGTAAATTCCTCAGATTGCCAGGCTGTGCTTTTACTTTGCTCACAGGTATTACTCAGAGGTTAAAAATTGTAAACTTCCTGCTATTTAACTTAGCCAGAGCTGACTTTTGTGAAAGGACCCTTTTGTATGCATAATGTCTGGAGTCTGCAAGTAGTGTGTGATCACTTGCGCAGCTGCATCTATTTCTTTGGGGATGAAATGGGAGGAAGGTCCCTCTTAATTTCTTTGGATGAAGGCTGTAACTTCTTCACTAGCTTGACGTGAAAACTTTGGATTATTTAGAGCAGAATTCTTACACAAAGGCAAATATCTGCTAGTTTTGCTGTGTTAAAAAAGAAAAGTGGAATGCTTTGTGCAGTATGTGGTATGGAGGTGAGCAGCCCTATAAAGGAGCCATGAGTTTATCTGCAGTGCATCACAGGGTATCCCTGTTCAGTGCTGCTCTGTCCAGCTCACTTGCTTTTGTGCATTAGTGTGGCCTAGCTAGTGCATTTAGACTTCTGATGACAATGGGTATCTGCAATTGTGATTAATCTTTTCTATCTCTGGGAACTTAGTAAACTAGTTCCCCATAATGTGGCTATACATCTTGCAGAGGAACCTAGATGAATGTTTATTGGCAAAGCTGAAAGGTTATAGCCCAGGTAAAAACAAAGAGAGAAGAATCAACAGGATGTCTGTTGTTTGATCTAGACTGTCTTTGGGGCATTGGCTATTTTAAGCATTCTTCCTGTGAACCTTTTTGAACTTCTTCTCTGCTGAAAATTTATTAGAAGAGCATGAGCATGTAGTTGCAGATGCTGAAAATCCAGGTATTTTCCTTTGCTAATGAAGCATTTGGTACAGAAACATTGGTAGCTCTTCAATTTACAGGAGACTGCTCTTATGTTTTGTGTGGGTAAATAAAACTGTTCTTTCAGCTGAGAAGTGTGATAAGCGTGTTGTGGCTTAGCCCACCCCACAGCTCCAGCTTGCAACCAAGCACCACACAGCCACTCACACCCTGCACAATGGGATGGGGGGGAGAATCGGAATGGTAAAACTGAGAAAACTCATGGCTTGAGATAAAGACTGCTTAGTAGGTACAGTAAAAGTATCACAAGCAAGGCAGAGAAAGGAATTAATTCACTACTTTCCATGGGCAGGCAGATGTTCAGGTATTCCCAGGAAAGCAGGGCTCTATCATACATTACAGTGAGTTGGGAAGAGAAAATGCTATCATTCCAAGTGTCTGCTTCTTCCCCTAGCTTTATATGCTAAGCATGATGCCATATGGTACAGGACATCCCTTGGGTCAGTGGGATCAGCTATCCCAGCTGTGTCCCCTCTTAACTCTTTGTTCACAGGGTGGGGTGAGAAGCAGAAAAGGCCTTCATTCTAAAGGCCTTGAGTGTAAGTGCTACTCAGCAGTAATGAAGACATTCCTGTATTGTCAACACTTTTCAGCATAGATCTAAAACACAGCCACATAGTAGTTGTTGTCCAAGCCAAGCCCATCACACTTGAGCACAGCCAGTGCTCAAGAAGAGGTTTATTTTAGTCTGTACAAATTCTTGATGTGCAATTGTGAGCCAATCTTAATGGAAAATACCTGTGCTGCAAAGTGATTTCTGTGTCTGTTAATAGTTGTACCAGGCAGAGCATTGTGACTGTTGGGTG